AGTATTTCTGATGGAATTTCAGCATCTGACTTGCCATGTGCTGCACATGGACCCTCTTCACTGGATTTGAAGACGTGTATGAAAAAACAGTGTAAAGTATCTCCATTCATAATCTTCAAGTATTTATTAGATGGTGAAATGATGATATTTTGGATATACCATGTTAAGAAAAATATATTAAAATTAATTATTAAAACTAATTCCACCTGTCACTTTTTACTTCTTTTAATGTGGCTACTAGAAAATTGTTATTTACATATGGGGCTTACATTATGTTTCTGTTGATGGTGCTGCACTAGACTTTCATATGTTTCAGTTCAAATGTCACCTCTTCCATGAAGCCTTCCCTGACCACCAAGCTAAAGCAGCACCCTGCTCCCCCTGGCCCATCCCTGAGCACACATATTAGCTCAGTCTCTGTCCCATCATGGGGCCCACCTTCTGCACAGCTCTTGTCCTTGTCTGCAGTGTTATTGACTATTTAGACATGTTGTCTGCATTCCACACTGGAACAGAACTGCTGTATCCCCAGTGCTTGGTATTTGATGGAGATACTTGACCAATATTTAGTGAAATAAAATGAACTCCGGGGAGGTCATCTTCCAGATACTTTGCAAAGCTGTTCCTAACAAAATCATGGAGATACACACACACACACACACACACACAACGACGTGCTTGAGGTAATAACTAAAATATTAACTACATATTTAAAATCACAGCAAAGCAGACACCTGCTTCTAACACGGAAGGCTCCGGGGCCTTGAACGTGCACTCGGGCACCTCTGCCTTCCGACCCTGCTTCTTCTGTTCATGCTGTGCAGTTACCTTTCCCGATTGGCTCACTCTGATCCCCCCCCCCATCATTTGTTTCCAAGCTTGCCCTCAACCAAAACCAACCCCCAGCCAGACTCAACCCAACCCAACCCATTGCTGTCACCCTCAACCAAAACCCAAACCCAACTCAACCCATTGCTGTTAATTCTGACACACAGAGGCCCTGCAGGACAGAGGAGCAGCAGGTGGACTGCCACGTCTTTCTCTTGTGGAGCACCTGGTGGGTTTGAACTATCAACCTTTTGGCCTTTGGGCTAGATGGTTAGCAGCTGAATGCTTTAACCACTGCACCACCAGGGCTCCTTACCGCTACACTATTACTGTAATGTGTTCACTTGCAATCTCCCATGTTTTATTTTCCTAAATCTCAAGTTGGCTAGATCCTAGTACTTAGGGCATCCCCTCTGGGTCTGACTTCTTACTTTATATTGGGTGTACAGAAGTGAACCCCTCTTTCCACCACCCCCATGGACCACCCACATGAGGCACAGCAGGGGAAGGAGCAATATTTGTTTTGTTCATTAAAGGCATCTGAATTGAATATATTTCACGAGAGTGGATAGAAAGGTTTTGATATGGCACATTGTCTTAAAACCAAGAAGCCCTGGTGGTGCAGCGTGTAAGTGCTCAGCTGCTAACTAAAAATTTGGCAGCCTGAACCCACCAGCCACTCTGCAGGATAAAGATGTGGCAGTCTGCTTCTGTAAAGATGACAGCCTTGGAGACCCTTTGGGCAGTTCCACTCTGTCCTCTAGGGGCGCTGTGGGTCAGAATGGACTCCACGGCAGTGAGTGTGGTTTGGGCTCTGGTTCTGTGAAGATTGACAGCCATGGAGACCCTCTGGTGCAGTTCCACTCTGTCCTCTAGGGGCGCTGTGGGTCAGAATGGACTCCA